CTTTGCATGGTGCTACGCATCTGGCCATAGTCTGATCAACCAGGAAAACAATTTGCTGCAAGATGTTATTTATCATGGCCAGTTTTCTTCCTCTGCTTCTTGAAAATAGTAATAATTTTTAACATTATTAAAATCTTGAAGAATGTCAGGAATCAAGATGGTAAAGGAGTGAGTGGAAGTCACACTGACCTCCTCCCAGGACCAACCTGGAATTACAACTAAATTGTAGAGAAATCACCTGGAACAAACAACTGAACAATGGCAAGAGAGGAGCCTTGTAACCTCGGAGACAGAAGAATCAGCTTTAGCACAATCGAACTGGTAAGGAGTGCGGTATAGACTCAGGAAGGCAGGTGGGCGCCCATGGGCGGCAGCACCAGAAAGATATTGAATCGACCAGTTGGGTCCCCCTGGGAAGGGCGGGATCTAAACCAAAAGTGGGGATCTCCAGTCCACAGCACCAGAGCCCAAAAAGTACACAGAAAACAGCCAGCTGTGAAAAGCTTGAGGGTAGCTCTCTGCCAGAGACAGGCGGCTGAAGACGCAAAGAGCCTTTTAAAGGGCCAATGCATAAATTTTTATTTGCAGCCACTTACCCTGGTATCCGGCAAAGGCGGGCGCAGAGTGGGCCAGATATACCTGAGGAGAGACTGGGAAAGGAGGCTTTGGGGAGAGAAGTGAGAGGGTAGCCGGCGGGATCTCAGTGCAGACTCCTCCCCCATATGGCAGCAGTGTGAGAGGACCCAATAACCCTGCCCCCAAGAGGGACTCCGCCCCACCCTGAGCTGTCTAAGGTGCCCTGCTGAGTGCAGGGTGAATAGATTAACAGCTGAAGGAGACAGCCACAGACAGTAGATTCCTGGAAGTCTCGAACAGACTGCCTAAGGTCAGACAGGGTTAACATCTAACATCATCAGAGGCAGATCCAGAAAGTGGAAACAGCAGTCTCCAACCATAGTGGTTCACAACACAAAGTCAGGAACTCGAGACAGACCAATTTAAGAAGCAAAAGCAAAAGAGAAGAGTCTCACAAATGAGAAGACTAAGAAATATGCCCCACTCGAAGGGAAAGGAGGAATCCCCAGACAGAAACTCAGTGAAATGGAGGCAAGTAAACTATCAGGTATTGAGTTCAGAAAAATGGTTCTAAGGAAACTCAATGAGCTCAGTGAGCTCAGAGAGAATTACAAAAAAACTACAGGGAAACTATGAGGAACTTACTGCAAACTATCAGCATGAAAAAGGACATAGAAACTATCAACAAGAGACAAGAGGAAATGAAGAATGTAATTTCTGAATTGAAGAACACAGTAGAAGGAATCAAAAGCAGGCTAGATGAAGCCGAGGACTGAATCAGCGAGCTGGAGGGCAAGGTAGAAAAGAGCTCCCAGAAAGAGCAAGAAAATGAAAGACTCAAAAAGAATGAAGAGGCATTGAGGGAAATGCAGGACAACCTGAAACGTAATAATATCCGTATAATAGGGATACCAGAGGAGAAGAGAATGAGGAAGGGACAGAGAACCTGTGGAAAACTTCCCAGATTTGAGGAGAGAAAAATTCACACAAGTCCAGGAAGCACAGAGGGCCCCATTCAAGAGGAACCCAATGAGGCCCACTCCAAGACACATCATCATTAAAATGGCAAATATCAAAGACAAACAGAGAATCCTAAAGGAAACAAGGGAGAAAGAGGTAGTAACTTATAAGGGAGCCCCTATATGGCTAGCAGCTGACTTCTCAACAGAAACACTACAAGCCAGAAGGGAATGCCAAGAAATATTCCAAGTCATGAAAAGCAAAGGCCTGCAACCAAGACTGCTCTCCCCAGCAAGGCTCTCCATTAAAATGGAAGGCGAAATAAGGAGTTTCCCAGAAAAAAAGGTTAAAAGAATACAGCTCCATCAAACCAGCACTGCAAAATATGCTAAAGGAACTGCTTTAAGATGAAGAAAATGTTTCTATGAATATCCAGTTCCTTTCAGAGTTGCCAGTACTTGATATTACCCATATTTTTAATACTCATTAATCTGATCGTGACAATGATGTCATTTTAATTGTTCCTTTACTATTTGTTGAAACTAAACCTGTTTTAGTGTATTTCTTGCCTATTTCTATTATTTTCTTAAAAAGTTTTTAAATGACTTTTTGGTATTCTTTATCCATTTATTGAGTGAAGGTTTGTAAAACTTTTCCCCAAAAAACCCAAAAACCTATTAACCATATTTTAGATGTGCTGCAAATACTTTTCTATTCTACTCCTTTTTATATGTATATTACTATATAGTTAAATGTTCAATACAGTCATATTTCAATATTTACTTTATAGCTTCTGGGTTTGAATGTTTTACTTCAGGTCATGAAATATATTAGTTCTATTTTCTTCTAAAACTCCTTAGATTCTACATATTGATTTTTAACTCACCTGAATGTTTCTTGTATAATGTGTGAAATAGGGCTCTATATTTGTTTTACTTCAAGTAATAGTGGTCCATGCACCTTATTTGTTGAATAAGCCTTATTTTACCCATTGACTTGAAATATCAACTTAATCATATATTGTTAGACAGATATATATGCTTGCCTCTAGAATGCTCAGTATATTTCATTGATCTACTTGATTATTTCTGTACTTGTGTCATGTTGGTTTAATTGCTGAGACTTTATAATGGATTTAAATTTTTTAATATTTTATGATGGATCTTGACATTTAAAAAAATAAAATAAAATCAATCTGTGTTTAAGAAAGAAAGAAAGAGAGAGAGAGATGGAACTCCTGTCTTTTGCAACAACATGGATGGAACTGGGGAATATTAAGCTAAGTGAAATAAGGCAGTTGAGGAAAGACAAATACCATAGGATCTCACCTATAAGTGGACTCTATTCAGTAAAATAAACTAATGAACAAAATAAACCACAGGCATGGAAACATGGAGCAGACTGAAAGTGTCCAGAGGGGATGGGGAAAGAGGACAACGGTGGAAAGAAGGGGAAGGGACTAGACAAAGAACATGTATGAACGACCCATGGACATGGACAGCAGAGTGGGGATTGACTGTGGCGGGGCGGGGGGGAATGGGTGGAGGGGGTAAAAGGGTAAAAAAATTGAGACAACTGTAATAGATGAACATAGACATGATTTATAAATTAAAAAAATAAATTAAAATAAAAATCTTGAAGAATGTTATTCTATTTTTACTCCAAAATCTATGCAAACTCCAGAGAAATTCCTCTCTTTTCTGCCTGATAATTTTAGAGACTGTACAAAAGGTACATTCATGTAATTTATCAGCCTTTTAGACACCTTTTTTTAATCACAATCTGATGTTAAACATATTTTTCTTATCAAATTGCTGGTCTTCACATGGCTTGAAGCCCTTTACGATTTCTGGAGAGTTGGTGGCTCCTAATATTAGAAACCCCTTAGACAGAGGAGCAATCCCTTGGGTCTTCTAACACGCTTGATTGAAGTATAACATTTTCTCCTAGTTACCTTCAATTCCAGAGTACAAAAAAATCACATTCCACATGGGGCTAACAGACTCTGGCCAGAGACTGCAAAAAGGAGGATTGCCTGACTTAGCTTCACAAATATAAACTTTGTGGGTTTTAGAGCCGGAAGAGAGCTCAAAGAGAAAAACCAGCCGTTTCAGCTTACAGTTTCCAGCACAGAAGGACTACAGGAGCTAAACCTGGATGTGCCATTTCAGTTTAGGCAAAGGGAGAAAATAAAACGTCTAAGTTGTATGTCTTTTAAAAATTAGGGCAATGCTATGTCTCATGGGCTTTATGGAAATGTGTGTACAGTCTGACTAAAGTGCAAAGCTGATTTCCCTGGGGGCAGGGAGGAGTGGAAGAGGAACACTCAGAAACATTCTCCCCCTAAAAACTCCTCAGTCTGTCTTGCAGGCAACCACAGAGTAATAATGAACGGTGTTAAGTACTTCGACAAGCCCTGTACAATGCCACTCAGTACAGCAAGAGTGGGTATTCTCTTGCGTGACCACTTTACGGCAGAGCCCAAAAGAGGAAGCCAGAAACTAGTTCAGAAAAACCAAATTTAAGATTAGTAGCACGAAAATCTGCTTTATGTATTTTAATTTCAATTTTTGTTTTTCTGCACTTAAGCGGAACTCAGTTGCACAAATGTTTCTTCAACGTGAGAACAATCCTTTCTGAAACCACAGGCTGCAGATGTCACCCTGGAATTCTCCAAGGGGCAAAATGCCAGCTTAGGAGTTGCTTTTCCACGGTCACTACCCTGGGTCGCCAAGGGCCTAACTGACCTTCAGACCTGTCGCCAGACACTTGCATCTCCACCGCCTTTCCAGACCCCCGCTAAGGGCCCTGTGGGTTAGGAAGGCAGATAACATCGCCATCGGGGTCGAAGACCAAACCGCAGCTGGGAGAGGGCCCTCGCGGCCCATGGCCCCGCGGTTACTGCGGCGGATTCCGAGGCTCAGCCCGGTTGTGGACAAAGCGCCAGGGAAACGCCTGCGACGTCCCAGCGGAGCCGAGAGCCGGTACTTGGTATTAAATTTGGCACTTTCCGCCGCTTCCTCTGGCCGGGACAACATTGTATCACCGAGGGGACGGAGGACTGTCTCTCCCTCACCTGGAGAACTCCCTCCAACGTTCCTTGTCTTTCTTCCTCCCACAGACCTGCTGCCCCGTCAGGGCGCGGCGGCGCAGTCGCCCGCCTGGGTGGCCCGCGGCCAGGAGGCTGGGGGGTCAGGGGACCGAGGGGGGCGGGGGACCGGTGCGCCTCGGCACCTGGAGCCTCCAGCGACCGAGGATCCACTGGAGCCCGCCGCCGCGGTTGAATCACGGGTGAATCATTCTTTGCAGGGTCTTGGAGTTTCCTATCGGGAGGAGGCGCGGCAGAGAGGATTCTCCGAAGCCGCCTACCTCGAGGCCAATGACCCGGCGGGGGCGGGGGCGGGGAGTCGGGAGGAGGGGCGGGGCTGGCGCCCGGGGCCGGGGAGGCGCGGGCCACCGCGCGCCCCTTTAAAACGCTCCCGGCGCGCGCTTTTCCAGACTCAGGGTCACCGCGCCACCTTCCTCTCTTCACGGCCGCCCTAGAGTGCCTTCTGCGCAACCTCTCGAGCCTCCCGAGCGCAGCGGAATCCTCCCGATCTCACCACCAGCTCATGGACATGGCGACTCCCACTGGACCCTGGTTCCCCGGCGTCGCGAACGCTGTCTCTAGAGCACTGCTCCTCGGTTGGATCCTCATCCAGGTGGCCAGAGCCTCAGGTGAGTGGCACCCGCCTCCCTGAAGTCCTGGGGCGCTCTCCCCGAAGGAGAGTGGACAGTCCGGGCTGACAGCGGGCTGCTCTGCTGCCTCGAGGTTTCCCCAGCGCCCGCCCAACTAGGCCACGCTCACCCCGTTTGAAGGAACCTGGGCCTGGGGCGGGCAGGCGGGTGTTCCAAGGTAGGTGGTTCTCGCCGGGGACCCACCTGCATCTGCTGGAGATGCTTGTCTGGAGGTGCGTTGTTGCTTACGTGGATTTGTGGCTTCAGCTTTAAAGTTTAGGGAGCGATCTCCCCAGTGACTTTGAAGGTGGTGCTTGGGTCCTCATCTGTATGGGTCAGCGGGCGACGGTTTCGATACTATCCTTAAGTGTGAACTTCTCTTAATAAAGAGCAGCCCTCGGTCTTCTCTTGGTGGTCCTTGTTTTAGATTGAGTTAGAGGCAATCCTGTTGCCAAGCGTCGCTTGGATTGAAGCAGACATTACACGGTGCATGCAAGGTAGGCAGCGACTGACCTAGGGAGTATCGGTAAAGCCGACCTTAATGATAAAGCATCCTAACAGTTGCACACCCCACCCCCACCCCCACCAAGTGTGACAGGCCGCACATCTGCCTGGGTGTCCGTGGAAGTTTCGGTATAGAGGCATTTTAGATAAAAATGAAAATGAAAAAGGTCAAGATTTGGCTTTCTCATTCTACACAGCCCTAACTCACACATGTGGGGTTTGCCCTTTTCTGTAACTTAGGAAGGCCCTTTCTAGGCGCCCCGCTGCCCAGAGTTGAACTTTCAGGACCTGCGCTCCCCCAGCGGGGCCATGGACACCCTAGGCTCCTGGGCTGTGCTTCCAGGTGAAGTTATTAACAACAGGGAGTCCCCCATGAACAGCATCGAACGAGGATTTCTAGGTCCTTGCCTGTTTCCTTACGTTGCAAGAAAGATCCGGCCATGAGGAAATTCTGCCTTTGGGGAAAATGTGAAGATTTTTTTTTCCTTGGTAATTCATTAGTGCAGCTTTTGTGGTTCAAAAAAAAATTAATGTTAGGTTTATGGTGATTTTAGGGGGGAGGTGTTTCATACACTCAGCATGAACTCACATGCTGAGACGTTCATGTAACAACAGCTGTTCCTCTGTTGTTTAAAGGCACTGCAGATGTCACGGTACCATATAATTTAGTTTGGAAATCAACTAATTTCAAGACCATTTTGGAGTGGGAACCCAAACCTGTCAATCATGTCTACATTGTTCAGATAAGGTAAGCTAAGTACAGAACAAGAAAACTAAGGTTTTTGATGTTTCCTCTTTACTGTGCTGAATACAAATGTCCTTAAAGCTGACTGATGGATGACAGTACTTAATAGATGACATGGTGATTGGCTGACCAGAGCCATACTCTATCAAGCCTACAACACTTCCAGACCTTACCACTGATAAAACATTTTCATTGTTTTTGGAGATGATGGAAAAATTCCTAAGGGGAGCATGAGCTGTGGGGAGGTGAGCCGGTGATATTGGCACTGACAGATGTGATTCTCCATGGATAACGAATCTCACCTGATCTCCCACGTCTGTTTCCAGGCTGTCTAGACTGGGAGGCTGCCCTTCTGTGTTAGGAAAGAAATGAGGAGGAGTTCGGATGTATACTTTGCTCTGGAGCAATGTTTATGCATTCATCTTTGGTTTCCTGATTCACAATTTGGTTGCATATGTGATATTGGAGGAGGTCGATTTCATGACTCACCAAACTGGAAAACACATGCTTTCTGTGTTTTCCCTCAGCTACCAGGGCTGCTTTGCTCATTTTACTTTGTGTCTGATTGACAGCTCTCCCCAAGAGCCTGTAATTGAATATATTCAGGCTAAATCTCGACATGTCTTTCTTGTTGGTTTTCACCGTATTCTTGCAAGTTTCTGCTTTCTGAAAGGTTCTGGGAGGCTTGTTGGAGATCTTATTAATTAGAGGAGAGCAGCTGTGGAAGTTATTTTAAAACTAATTGTATAAAGGCACAAAAGTATCACTGGCTACATTAAAAGTGTTTTGCTTTTTGTTTGGTTTGGTTTAGCTTGTGTCAAGCCTTTTATAGCATTAGGAATGCAACTCCTAAGTATCAAGGGGGTCTTTTGAGTGGACTTTCTTGTTTTTAAAAATGAATTTAATGACAACTGTTGCCAAACCAATAGAATTTGTGTGTGTGCACATGAATGCATGTACAGATAGAGGAAGGAGAGAAAGGAATTTCAAAACCTGAGATCACAATTATGATTATGGTCAAATTTGTCAATTCTTATTCCACTAGTCAAGAATACAGACCTGAAGTTTACGTTGGTAGATGCTTTTCTTCTGGAGAGTGAAAATAACATTTTAGGAGGAATGCTTATCTCCTAAATATAGTCAGTCTTATAGTTGGTGAACATGTGGAAACATAGTTATGAGTTTCCTGATTTTTAAACATAAACCTTTGTTAGCTCTCGGTTCTTGGACTTCCCGAGGCTATTTTAAGTGAATGTGGCCCCTAATGGGCTAACACCTGTAGAGAGCCACCGCTTGGGGGCGCCCTCGACAGGGGTTCTTGCGAGCTGAGATCTCTCCTTGCTCTTGCGCACGTGCTGGAGGACCTGTGAGCAGTCCCTCCTTCCTGCTGGAGACCTCACTCTTCTCTGTCCTCCTCATGAGGTGAACAGGGTTCCTGGGTGAAAAGAATCGCAGCAATCATTTTATAGGAGAGAAAACTGCTGCCCTAGGAAGGTGAAGGATTTGTTCAGACTGCATTAATGGTGAGTGCCCAGCCAGGTCTGGAGCCAAGGTCTCCCCAGTAGTCCACCACCAGCTTCTCTGGCGCGTCTGCCGCAGTCGATGTGAGGCCCCACGACTGGGAGGAGGAAGGAGGGTTGGTGCCAAAACACCAAGTTTTTCATTTCTCAGGCTTTTCCGTGAGGCTCCATCTCCTCTGTGGCCACTTTCCCTCTCAGTTTTCCTTCTTTAGAAGGAAGCATGTTAACCTGCTGCTCCTCTTCACCGACGATTGGTCCCTCCCAGCCACGGGATGCTACTGCTGGGCCTCAAGACACTACTGGAGATCCAACTATGTTTTTCCCATTTAGAAACAGTTTCAGTGATGGTTGCAGAGTGTGATTGGCTCAAGCACTGAAACATCCATCACCTGTAATTTTGATTCCATGGGAATGTTTGGATTCTAAAACTGAACTTCCAAAGCTTCTAGAAAACAACCTGTTCCTAAATTGGTGATTCTGTTGGAATTTTTAGTCATTAAGGCAGGACTTCCATTATTTCCAAAATCAGGAGATTTTGCAATAGATACCTAGAGGACCCTTAAAGGCTTTTAAAGTGTTAATCCTGGTAATAGCATTCAGAGGAACTTGCTACAGAACTGCTCCTTCGTTACCTGTTCATACAACTTTGCTGATTTTACTAGTTTCAGTGATAGAGGTCCTTGTGCTAAACTTTGCCGTGGAGCACTGTGATTCCTACGTGTCAGCCAGGAGGAGCCAAACGCAATCCCTCAGACAGGTAGAGTGCAGCCGCAGAGCTCAGCAGTCTTTCTCCTGTTATCTGAGTGGCATGTTTGCCATAGCGATGGAGATGAGTCATCACGTTTTCCTTCACTACTGTAAAGTGCATTTTGGTCACTCTGGAATTAAGACAGCCTGTCTACTTTTATACAGAAAATTGGAGAAATCTAAGACATCAAAATATTTTTGTATCAGTGTTAGTTTGTGAATTTTAGGACAAAGAGTATGTTCATCCATACCCTCTTAACCTGAATATTTAGTTCTGATTTCTGTCAAACACATATTTATGGCTCTTACATATGGATTTAGACAATTGAATTCAGCTTGTTTTCTCCCTTATTCAACCTGTAAATGCAAACCATCTAATACTCAGCAAAGCCTGGCTGCATATAAGCCCTGCAGACTTGCTGCCTAACAGCAAGCACAAGGGCATGGGTCCCTGGTACCAAGCTGACCATGTTGAGCAGGAAGCACTTTAATGAAAACATCATTGCTGAGGAGCAGGGAAGGGAGAGGTCAATTCTGAGCAAGGAGATCTGGAAATTCCTGGGGAAAGTGGGATTGGGACATGGCCTTAAATGATGGCTAGGGCTGTGGCAGTGAATGATGTTGAAAATCATTCAAGGGGAGATCAAGAAGGGGAGAGCAGCGTAGCCATCAAGTTATAGGGGGCAGACGTGTGCAGATCACATTGCAGTAACATTTCTCTCTTAATTGTTTTGGTCCTTTAAAATAATTTTAAATTTATAGAAGTTCTTTAAATAATTTCCTCTTCAATGAGGTCTTACAAAAGAAAGATCATTAGCCTCTCAGTCTTTCAGACTTTTGTTAGAGTGATACTACCTGTTTACTATAAAGATTACTGTTACTCTGTAATCTGTAATAGGATATGTTCACATCTTGTAAAAGTGAAGGGGAAGTGTCGTAGAATGAGAGGAACAGACCCAGTTCTCACCTCATTAGTTATATGACCTTGGACAAGCTCCTTAGCATCTCTGAGCTTCAGTATCCTTGTGTGTAAAAAAGATCCAGTACCTTCTTGGAAGGATTATATCAAATGAAACGTGTGTAAAGGGCCTACTGCAGTACTTCCTGGCATATAGTAAATTCAATAAATGTTAAATAACCACACCAACAATTGTTATGATAGAATGTAAGGTATAGGATATATTAGATAGACTCCATTATTACTACACTGACTATTCTACCGAGACTGTAGAATGTGATATAATAAGTAGAATATAGTACAATATAATAAGTAATAAATAATTGAGTCTTAATTTTAAAAAACTGTCTACATTTTAAGAAAGATATTTAACAAAATGGTTAAAAGCACAGACCCAACAGTCAAACTGCTCTCTGACTCAAAGGCCAGTTGTGTGCTTTTGAGCTGGCCACCTAATCGCATTTTGCTGCAGTCACCTTTCCTGTGAAAACAGAGATGATTACAGAGCCATCCCAGGTTACTGTGAGGACTCGAGTGTATCTGAAGTGCTCAGCATAGCAAGCGCCTGCTCACGAGTAGTTGTGGATGCTATTATTGTAACAGCACCACAGCCAGAAAGCCTTGTCTCTTGTTGGATGCAAATCATAACATTTCTCTCCCTTCCTTCCTTTAGCCATAGATTAAGAAATTGGAAAAACAAATGCTACTTCACCACAGACACAGAGTGTGATCTCACTGATGAGATTGTGAAAGATGTGAAGCAGACATACTTAGCGCGGGTCCTTGTCATGCCGGCAAATGCCACCAGTTATGCTGGGGAGCACATGTATACAAAATCCCCAGAGTTCACACCTTACTTAGACAGTAAGTAGTTTGGTTTCATTCTTGCTATTATAAGCCTCTGAATCTTTTTGTCAGCCTATAACCCTTAGCAGCAACTAGATAATAAAGCATTTCTCCATGAACACATTTTCTTTCTCGGAAACTTGGAAGTGCCACTTTCTGATTCCCGTGTGATAGGAGGTTCACAGAGCATGAACTTTGGAGTCGAAAACAGTGTCATCAGGTACCTTTCTCCACTGGTCTGTTCCCAGACTGTACCAGTAACAGGCTGGATGAGACCAGGGGGACTTGGAAATCCACCAAGACTGGGGTTTCAGCATTTCCCCATATCTATTTCAGAGATTATATTTACATATATATACATGCACACATAAATGTCCTAAAAATTCTGTCCCATCATCAGACCAGAAGTCCCAGTTTAAGGTTTTTCACCGTCACAAATGCACAGGGAAAGTTCTATTTCCCTCTGATCTCATAATGAGGCTGCTGACCTTTTTTAATCAGTTGGCCATGGCTTGCCTCCCGTGTTGTGGCCGCACTTGCCCAACCAGCTCTCAGCCTGCCTCCTTCATGCTGGTTTTTGCAAGTACAGAATGCTTTCCTCCCCAGCCTTTGCCCCAGTAAACTGACCTTAGCACCCCCTGAGGGAATGCACAAGATTTCCTGCCAAGCAGGAGATTACTATTTTTTGTCATGACTATGGTTCTGAACTAGGTATTTTAAATAAATATGTAGCCCATTGAGAAGAGTGGGACCTTTAGGGTCTTTTAGGTCTTTCAGTCTTCAAAGGCCTTTGAAGAAGACCTAGACTGAAAGGTTAAAATGAAAGTGTCATGTTATTGGTGCTTTTATATCTATCCCTCTGATCACCCAGTGAGAGGAAAATACCTTCTCCAGGCAGGGATGGTGAGAAGGGGTAGAGGGACAGTCAGCCAGCCTTTCCCCTTGAGTATCTACTCTGAGGGTGGACATAAAAGGGAGCCTTCACTCAGGTGAATCTGGCTGCCTTCCCTGAGCCCCTGTTGGCCAGAACCTGTCTTCAGACCCTTGTGGTGTTTTCTCCTTGTGTGTCTGCCGAGGCGCTTGGCTGGCGCCTCCACACGACACCCGCAGCCCTCTCCAGCAACTCTGCCGCATCGATTGTCCTGCCTTTGATGGCATCCTTGCGATTTTCTGTTACAGTTCTTGAGGTTTCTATGAGCCACTTCAAATCCTTTTTTGGTTCAAGATAAATATATTTTACATATTTATTGTTCATACTTGCATATAATTTGTGTTAAATTATTGGGATTGGTTGTACTGTCGTTCAACCAAAGTGCATGAGATAATTAGAGTCCGAGGGGTTAAAACTGCCTGAGGTACCAAGGACACTTCCTGGGTTTTCCCACAGCCCCTAATTTATTGTACCTACCTAAAAATGGACTCTTCTGCAACTGTATTGTTTCATAAAATAGCCACTAACCACATGTGGCTCTTGAGCACTAGAAATATGCTGTAAGAGTAAAATACACACTACATTTTTAAGAATGTCTCCAAGAGTTTTCATAGTGATTATATGTTAAAATGATAATATTTTATTTATATTGGGGTCAATAAAATATATATTATTGAAGTGGATTTCACCAGTTCCTTTTCACATTTTCTCATGTGACTACCAGGAAGTGACATCGGTGGCTCCGGTTATATTTCCAGTGCACAGCACTGCTGGAGGCGGTCTCGGGGTTCAGCTCTGGTGCCACTTAGCTTGCTGTAGCCAGGGGCTAATTCTGTGTAGGTGATTTAAGGGGGATGACCAGGTATTACTAACCATGATAAGTAAACGGGATTCTTTGGTTCCAACAAAGTTTATTTTCTGTGTTTCAGCAAACCTCGGACAGCCCACAATTCAGAGTTTTGAACAAGTTGGGACAAAACTGAATGTGACTGTACAGGATGCACGAACCTTAGTCAAAATGAACGGCACTTTCCTAAGCCTCCGGGATGTTTTTGGCGAGGACTTAAGTTACACACTTTATTATTGGAAAGCGTCAAGTACAGGAAAGGTGAAGATTCTTCCATTTGATTTTGTGACTTGCTTTAATCGCGGGTCCTTGGTTTTTACAAGCTATTTATCCTCCAATTCAGAAATGGCAGAACTGGGTGGATGAGAATGTGGTGGCATGGGAGGGGCGCTGGCTGTCCTGTTTCTACCTGACTTTGAGCGACCTTGTGACTTTGAGCAGGGCCCCATTGGATACTCAGGTTCTTCAGCCAAGAGGCTGGCCCAGGTAACCTCTGAGGTTCCTGTCAGGGCTCACATTTCTTTATTGAGGATCACAGATAAAATTTATTGTCCATTCAATAATTAATGTATCATTTTTTTCCTTTACTGCAAGTATCTTCTAAAGGGGCTAAGTTGGCCATGTTTAGTCTTGGAAAAAGCACCCTCAGCAGTTATCACAGGGAACTGTTTAGCCAAGTCACTTCTAACCCTGTATATGTCACACACGTCCATGTAGGCTTTTACTTCCACAGTGACTTAGTAAAGGAGGAAGAACTCAGTTGGAGCCCAGATGAATTATGAACTCTTTATCTTTTAACAGAAAGCAGTCAAGTCAAACACTAATGAATTTTTGATTGATGTGGATAAAGGAGAAAACTACTGTTTCAGTGTTCAAGCTGTGATTCCATCACGAAAAGTCAACCAGAAGAGTCCAGAAAGCCCCATTGAGTGCAGTGGCCATGGCAAAAGTGTGTTCAAAGGTGAGCAGCTCTGCTGAGCAGGCACGGACACACAAGCACCTTCCAGAGGACTGGTTCCTCCCTCAGGACCAGGATGTGCTTTTGTTCAGAGAAAAACTGTCTTGATTTTTCTTGTGTTTGTAAGGGTATTATTCTGGGCGGAGGGTGGGGAGTACTCATAATTTTAGGCATTGAGGAATGTTTCTATGTTGTTCCCTTGTAGTAGCAAGTGTTTTCTTGAGCACCTACCACAGGCTAAGCTCTCTGCTGAGCACTGGGCACACAGTCTGTGTTTGGAGTTTATCATCAATCACAGATTTCTATGGTCATGTTTTCATACTAAAATTCTAGTTTGTGGGTTTGTGGGGAGCATCTGGACCAGCTGTGAGCACCCACAATGGGCTGTTGCCACAGAGATAAACCGACTAACCCATGGAGGGAAGCGATTGAGTCTATCGCTTATATCCATATATGTATGTCTGTGCATGTGCACACTCTGGGGCCCACACATGGCAGGAGGGGCTCCACACTGGAATTGCTGTGGGTGTTCAGACATGTACATGAGGCTGAAAGCTTGGGAGTCTCCCTCCAGGCTTTGTAAGGACAGCGCTTTGAGTACTTTCAAGGAGTCCGAGTCAAAGGATAGTAACGATGACCTAGCTCCTTGCTAAGAGGAGATTTAAAAATTCAAAAACACTTAAAAATAAATTCTCTTCCATTTAGTGACACTAGTGGAAGGAAAGGAATCTCCTCCTCTCTGGTCCTGCACCCTCTGGCCCATTGTACCCACAGCCCTCACATCCATCCTTCTAAAGCCAACTCCAGTTCCACTGCCTCTGTCTTCGTGCACACCCTGATCACTGCTTTCCAGGTCTCCTCTCTATCTGCTGAGATGTGCCCTTTGAGAACCATTGTAAATACAACCTCCACCAGCAAGCCTTCTTATTGCCCCAACCAGTTATCATCTCTCTTCACCTGAATTCTCGTAGCACTCTGTCTCTTTGCACAAATGGTTCATCTTCTACTGTAATCATTGCCACCAAACTCAGCATTATTTTTAGCCACTTGTTTCTAACAGCTGTTCTTACTTCAGTCTACGTGTACCTTCTCTAGACTGTGAACATTATATTTTACTAAATGGCCCATTTAGTGCTTTTGGCCATTGTCAATTGCCCTGCGTCATCCAGGGTTTGACAAATTCTTTCCTAATCAAAATGTGCTGTGGTGGAAAGAGTGGAGAGAAGACATTCCAAATTAAGCAAAAACAGGATGGTGCGATTTGGGGTTTAGCCCTCCATCCTGCCCTCTGATAAATGGGATTCGAGCTCTCTTTCCTCGTTGACTTGGTACCTTTTATTTTTCAGACAAATTCTTCATCATCGGAGCAGTGGTGTTCGTGGCCATCATCTTCATTGCCACCCTGTCTCTGTGTCTGTACAAGTGCAAGAAGGCCAGAGCAAAACAAAACAGCAAGAACTCCCCATTCTCTGTTGCGTAAAGCACACGACGTTGGAGCTGCCAACTTCTGCAGAGTTTATATTGTGCGGTGACCAAGAACTTTTAAGAGAACGGCATATATGGAAACAAAAAGAAGTATTTGGAGCATGGAGACACTTGGGCCCAAAGAAAGTTCTTTTTCTGGCTGTTCTCATGATTAACATTCTGGTTTTGACACCAGCCCTTGTCACATTAGAATGTAATGAACGGTACGACCAATTCCAAGGTTTTTAAATTTATTTTTTTAACACTATGGCACCTTTTGCACATATCATACTTTAGACTGAATGTTCTACACTCAAGACAAAACCAGGTCATCTGAGCGAAAACAAATGAACAAATGCCTTACAAATCCTGGTGGACTTTTGGAGAACTTTCAAGAGGCTGACTTCAAACCATGTGGGAGAGTAAAATGGAAATTGGGTGACTTTTCTAACATATGTCTGTCTTTTTTTTAACATGGTGTTTAGGTACCTCTCCTTTTTTTAAGAAGTTTTTTGGAAGTTCAAAACAATTGGCAAAGTTTCATATGAATGTATTAAATGCAGAAGACTTCTATTTAGGGCACATTCCTAATATGCATTACAGTTTAGCACTTTAACTGACATAAATGCTATTGATTAAACACTTGACAGCTAACTACAATATATTTTTATAAGACTACTATACAGGCCACATAGAGTGTGATTTAAGGTACTTAAAACTTATATGGTCAACATTGTATATATTTATATAATTTTTGAAAAGGTTTTATATGTGGGGATTTATATTTATAGAGGTAATATTGTTCTGTTTGTATATATTGAGATAATTTATTTAATATACTTTTATATAAATAAAGGTGACTGGGAACTGACCATTGCAGTTATGATACCTTCCATTTATTGTTAATTATTTGGTCTTTGTTTTAGTTGGCTCAGCTGCAGTAACAAAGGACCTTGAAATCCTCAATGGCTATGACAATATTATTTTTATATTATTTTTACTTCTCACTTACATTGGTTTGCTGGCTGTGGGCTGACTGCAGCTGTTCTTATATTCTCATTCTAGGACCCAAACTAAAGTGAAGCCCATATTTGGATCACAGCAGGGGAAAGGCAAAAAGAAGCCATCAGAAACAGGCAGCTACATCGTCAAGCTTTAAGCCACCTCTTAAAACTTGTGATCCATGTTGGCTCTCTGTCACTTCTGCTCCCATGACACTGGCCCAAGCAAGACACATGACCAAGGCTGACAATACCCTGCCTACAGGGAGGCACCACAACTCCCAGCAGAGTGGGCCGGATAGTGTTACAGGAAAGGCAGAACTTACACAGTCTACTGCAGGTTTAGCAGGGGAGAATTCTTGCCATAGACATTAGTTTGAATTGCAGATGAAAGTTGGAGAGGAGAAAGAAAGGAAAATTCTTTGGATTATTGCCTTAAAAGAAAATTGGATAAAAGGACAATGTAAGATAGGGAGAGAGGGAAGCAGAGTGGAGTCTCTAGATTTAACTAAAAGCTCTTTGAGGGCAGGACTGAGTCAAGCAAGTGTCCACTGCTCCTCTAGGGTGACCGGGCCAATGGGCTCTTAGTCATGGTGGAGTTGAGTGCATTACCTCCCACTAGAACATAAAAACTGAGTCCTCCATTCAAATGCAAATAAAATATAGCAGAACCATCCTGTTCTCTCAACCCTATGTGAAAGAGGATTCTAACTCGAGATGAAAATGAGGTTCCCAGCACCTAGTTGCCCTATTTGCTGCCTGCTGTGGAAGGCTGGGCTGGGAGAGTCCAGGAAAAGCATCCAGGTGGCACACCTACCTGCGCGTGGTCCCACAAGGAGACACTGAGCAAGCATTAAAATGAGCAAAGACTCAGCTCACTGTCCAGCCATTCGTAACATTAAATCCATTTTGTTCCTTTGCTGAAAAGAACTAAGCATTGGCAACAGAACTCTGAACATGAAATGTTTGATATAACATACTGTTTTAAGGAAGAATGGACAAAACACACCTTTGATATTCCCTAAAAATGGTAGCCCGAAAGGGAAAAAAGGTACACACTTTGAAGAAATTAAAGAAAGCAGACCAGTAGTGGGTTGACTGAGCTGGTTTTGTTGGTTGGTTTGCAATGATCAACCTGTGTTGATGCTGGAGAGGATGAATCGTACAATGTAGCAGCATGTGTTGTGCCAGAAAAAGAGGGGATGCGTATGCAGCAGAATCAGCCAAAGTGGGGTGGGGCATGTCCTGAAAGCAGTGTGCTTTGCCTGTTATCTTGATTTTCCGCCTATGGGGCTGCCCAGTTCAAAGAGCTTAGTTAGCACTGCTCTAGTGTAAAACAAGCTCCCAGAACTGCTGTCTGACAGGGCACCTCTATTAAGATGCATGTTCCCTGCCAGGAATTATTACAGCATTATGCAATCCTGTGGCCTCATAATCTAAGGAATTTCAATAGTTCTGCTAAAGAAAATATTCGCAAAATGAAAGCAGGTCTGAGAAGTAATGAGAGGTGTCTGGCTGTTCACAGGGAAGGAATCCATTACAGATCCCAATGAGGCCTCACTATAGTGGACAGGAAGCCTCAATACTGCAAATTTTAACCCTGACTCAGGTTGCCACAGCTCTCCTTATCACTGAGCTGAAACAGCTGCTGCAGATAACACCATCCTGAGTGCCAGAGCAGAAAACCATACTATCAGTTGTTGGCTGGTACTCAGAAACTATACCACCTTCCAGTGGGCCAAATTCTACTGCATTACTTAGCCTGGCCCTTAAAGGATCCCATACATCTAATTGTTATTAAACAAAAATTCCATGCTTTGAAGAGAGATTTTTTTTTACCATCTTAATTTATTGACCAAGTCTGACTTACATTTAAGAAGCTAATACTTGTGGCATCCAAAGACATTTTACCTTCCAGCTGATGGCCTACAGTCTAAGTACCTGTCTCTTGAATAAAGAAAAAAATCTCTATCCATCAAATAGATAAACTCATTCCCAAATGTAATTTTTACCTGTTCTAGCATAAGTATAGTTAGCATGTGTTATTTTTCTCCAGTGGTTGCCTAAGATGGTTTATTAGTGTTACAATGGGACCTTCATTCAGATGTATGTAGTGATTACTTCTCTTTTCCCATAGCCCCTGCTTTTCAGATGGGTGTCTAGGTGATTCTGGCTTTGCCATGCGGCACATTCTCATGGCTGCAGAAATTGGTTTAGAGGTCAGCACATGGCCTAACCTAGTTCAGGAAGGGTAAATCTCAGTTTTTGTTGTTTGTTTTTTTCTGGGAATATTGAAATACTTTCTTTCTTGATGAACATAATGGAGAAACATGTAACCCCAAGAGCTATTGGCAATTATCTTGAGACCATAAAGGGAGTATCCTCGATTGGAGTTGACACACAGGAGAGCAAAGCAAAGTGATGGGCAGAAACTAAGTTACCAAGCCATCGAATCAAGCCTTGACTAAAGTTATCACCACCTGTGCATACTTTTCATAGGCTTATTATAAGCCAATGCATTGTTTACGCAAGCTTGATTCTGGTTTTCTTAACTTTGGCTTACAGTCGAAAGCACCCTAACTGATGCTGTGTAAGCTTTGACCATGGAATATAAAGAGAGGAAGAAGGTGCCTATAATGAAAGTTTATAATACAAACAGCTTCCAATGTAAAATAACATTCCATTCTCAACTACTAAAAGACTTTACATTTAAACTATCCCCTCTTTCTGACAACATCAGGTTCTTCTTTAATAGTCCATCATTTTTGTTGGAACACAAACATGCTGTATTATTTTTCCTCTTTAAAAAATAATATTCCTTTGACCTTATAAAAGCCCTCACCTGGATTTCCTCCTCACTCCTTACTCCTTTGATACCCTCCTCTTCCTTCTGACTTCTAAATATTGGCTTACCTTCCTGCTCCAACCTGTTCTCTATCAATAATCACTCTCTAGGTGATACACCCAAGCCCATGGGTCTATCATCGAGCTCTATCATGCTTCATGTCCACAGCGTCTGTATGCTGATGACTCCCAAATGTATAGCTCAGCTCACAGCCTCTTTCCTAGGCTCCAGAGTTGAACTGTAGATCCAATTACTTACACAACATTTTATGAGGGTATATAACAGTCATCTTAATTTTAATATGGCCAATGAGAGTCTATTTCTCCCAACTCCAAAACCTGTTTCTCCCCCAATATTTCCCAACGTTACCACGATGGTGGTAAGAAACGTTACCACCATCGGCTCAGGCCAGAACCCTTGGTGTCATCACTGACTTTTCTCCTCCCGTGCCACATTCAGCCCATCAGCAAAGCCTGTCTGCTGTACCTTTGAAATATATCCCAGTTCCCAAGGTCACCTCCTTCGCTGCCATTCCTCTCCTTCAAGCCGCTCTAATCATCTCCTGGATTGTTGCACTAGCGTCCTCGCTGGCCTCCCTGTGTCTACATTTGGTCCCCTGCAGTCCATTTTCCTCACCACGATCAGAGTAATCCTTTTAAGATACACAAATTATATTTTTATGGGTACTGCTCTCAACCCCCCAAGAGGATTCTTAGGGGGGGGGTTCAGTAGAGTCTCAATTTGGCTAATCTGGAAGCACATTTCCAAGTTTTTTCTCTGCATGGTTCTAGCTTAGAGTTAACCAAAAGAGAAATGTGTGCAGGATTGGAGCAGCAGCATTTGAAGGTTGGCTTTATTAAAGGTGGGCTAGACCGATGCAGAGGCCCCAGCAGATCCCAGGCTGTCTCACCCTCCCCTACTCTGTAACTGGCTTTTCTTCCTGACTTCCAACCCTGCTGGATCAGGTGCAGAAAGAACAACTTTACATGGGTCTTTCCACCAGGTCTTTCTTGGGAGTCCAAGGAGGGAATAGGCATATTCTCCTGTGGGGATCCAAAAGAGGGAAGTGTAAGCTGACACTCTTTTCCTCCCACAGTCTCCCCAGCTTTTTGGGAGGAGCACTCAATTCTCAGGAGGCTGCCCTGGCGGTAGGAGGACCCAAGGACTGCTGAGCAGAGGCCCGTCTGTGCGCAGCAGCCCCTGCCCAGGCCTCCACATTCTGGCCCTCCCTCCGTGCTCCGGAGCCCTGCGTCCTGATGGCCTCCGGCACAAAGGCCCCTATAGTGATGTAAACAGCAGTACGTACGTAGGCCCTGGACACAGCAATTGTAACGTTCCTCATTTTTCTAACCCTTGATTTAATTTTTTTAAATTTAAGTTTCCTTTCCACAGGAGGGCGGAAAGCATTCCAAGCAGTTTGGAGAGTCCTCCCCGTCTCCAACATCATTTTCCGCTGTAGTCGTGCCACCCCCACTGCCACCGTCCCTGGGCTCTGGGTCACTCCACCTCCCCTCTAACTAGCCTCTCCCACCAGCTGGGGTGGGAAAGCCTCACTCTTGTTGCCATTTTCTCTTTTTTAATTATTATTTTATATTTGTTTCTGATGTATAGTATAGTGGTTATATAATTCAAAATTTACAAAGTGGTCACATTGATAATTCTAGTACTCACCTGACCTCATACATAGTTATTAAAATGTTATTGACTATATTCCCTATGTTGTACTTTAATGCCTGTGACTGTTTTGTAACTATGTTTGTATTTCTTTTCTTTTTTTAATTTTATTTTTAAATCATGTTTATTCTATTACAATTTTTCCCCTTTTGCCCTCCTCCACCCATCCCACCCCACCCCCCGACAGTCAATTCCCACTCTGTTGTCCATGTCCATGGGACCTTCATACATGTTCTTTCTTTAGTCCCTTCCCCTTCTTTCCATTGTCCTCCTTCCCCATCCCCTCTGGTCACTTTCAGTCTGCTCCATGTTTCCGTGCCTGTGGTTTATTTTGTTTGT